AATATTTAATGAAAAAAATAATTAAACAATAATTTAAAATAAATAAATAAATTAAACAATATATAAAAAAAGAATTAGAAAAATTAGATTTTAGAACCCAGGCAACGCCCGGGTTCTAAAATCTAATTTTTTTAAAAGAATATAAATAATTAAAACCTAAAACTTAATATAATTGAGACCTAAGAATTAGAATAATATTAGAGCCTCAAACCCGGGCAACGCCGGGTCCTAAGAGCTAGTAACGGATAACTAAAATAGGAATCGTGAAAACCAGATAATATCGATATTTTTTATATTCATCAGCGTAAGTTGAAATCACTATTTTTAGACGATCCTAAATTTGGACTAAATACTACGTACTCACTACACTCTAGACAATTTTTTATTGTATATAAAGTGATGATACAGTATAATTTTTGAAATTTTAGTATTTGGTTTTTAATCTTTGCATCATGAGATTTTTATCGTTTTTTAAGTCTTTTTTAAGGAGCAAAACTAATATAACATATGTGATGCAATAATCCAAATTCAGCATAATCTTTCGCCAAACCTTAATTTTTTGAAAAAACAAACCTTCACACTGCCATCGCTTGTTTTATCTTATGCTGATAAATGCTTTTTGATTTTTAATTGAACTGCAACTGATATCACTTCTTTTTAATAGTATAAATATTTATCGTATAAAACTACGAAAAATTGCTAACTTTTTTTGACTTTATCCAGTTTGTACATATATTACCGGTATTGTCTACTAAGTAAAATATATCTGAAACTTCTGAATATACAAGTTGTCTGCGAGCTTCTTATGCGTCACATAATTTATATTCACAATTTGGTCATGAAGTCTCTTGCATTTTAATACAACAACTATAATGACTATTATAGAATAGAAAGCAAAAAAAAATCTACAAATCAGTAAAACAAGGAAAACCAATAACTTTTCCTTGTGCTACTGATTCACTATTTATATCTAATTGCTTAACATTTTTCACTATAAACAACAAATCAGACCAATAAATAATACCACCACCAAGACCTTCAAATAGACTCCACGGATGGTCAGGAACTCGTGCTTCACCTTTATGAGTTCTTACTTCCCATTCACCTCCATACAAACCAAAAGCTAAAGCTCTTTTAAGTTGAACTTCATCTCGTGTAACAAGATAAGTTAATAAAAAAGCATAAGCATTACCAAGGGTATTATGACAAAGACCTGTTACACCCTTTTTCAAAATTCCACGCTCCCAGACTAAATCAGTTTTAGCAATTACATTTGAAAGAATATTTTTGGATAATATGTGTGTTGGATATAAAGAATAAATTTTTAAAAAGGAAACAATTATTCCTGGAGCTCCATGGCAAAACCTGATAAAATAAATATTAAGTAAAAAAGTAATAATACAATAATAATAATACAGCAAATTATGTATGTTAAGATGCTTACTGAATGAGATCATCATGAGTTGATTGTATACGTGCAGGATAGTTTTCATTACTTTGAACTAGTCCTGCAAGCCATTCAGTTGTTTGAAATAATTCATCCAGATAAGGATGTGCTAATTCACCACATTGGAGGATGATAGAAATGATTCCGGCTATGATCACAAAAAAAGAAATCAAAAAAAAAAGATAAAAAAAAAGCTCTATAGAATAAATATAATTGTATCATACAAACCGACACCATGTATGGCACCAATATATTCAGCATTATGCCAACTCCACATTAAGGCTGGCTTTGTAATTTTGTCATCAACAGTCTTCGACTCCAAATTTTCAACTGTCATTCTTTTTGCACCATCTCTACCATCTTTAATAATTAACTCAATAATTTCTTTTAATTTCTTATTTTCAATTCTTGATATAATTTCCTTGTTATCTTTACAATACTTTCGAATAAAAATTAAAGCATAAAGATATCCAGCTCGACCATATAATAACTCATTTGAATCTTCTTTTATCAATAATGAATGATATTTATCAAGAATAATATCAAGATATTTCAAAGATTCAAGAGTGTTTTTTTCAATGGTCTCATAAAATACCACGGCCAAAGCAAGTGGTCCTATATGACTGCCTATAAATCCTAAGTGTTTTGGAGATGTATTGCGAACTGCTGATAAAGAGGCAGATAGATACGTGGAGCATAAAAGAGATACTTTGTCTCCAGCAATTGTTAGGTCAGGAAAGAGCTGGTGTAAATGAAAAAACATGAAAGCGATTCCTCCATAACCTAATATTTTATATATTTTAGTAAATAGTAAAATTTAAAAGAATTTTAAATATGGTAATTGAAGTAAATTTGTTAGCTTTATAAAATCACACAAATTTACAAAATTTTTTCTTATGAATTTTACCAACAAATACATCATAGTAACGACTATCGTAAGTGGCTGGAAATTTCGAAAGAATCTTCTCAACACCATATCTAATAAATTTTTCAAATTTTGCGGGATCACAGTCGTCAATATTTGGAAGAGTTAAAGTATTTTTCAAGTAACGTTCTGGCATGTTTTTAAAGTTAAGATGAATGCGTGTAAAATATATTCTTGTTATTTAATGGGTATCGGTAATTTTATATTTTTTGCAATGATTATGTAATCAGTAATCATTACGTAACCATGACATCATTATTGATTCTCTAATACGTACAAATCAAGAAGTTTTTTTTTTTACTTCATATGGCACCAGAGATTTTACTAAAGCAATTGATATTTACGTTTTGGTATTATTATCAACTTGAAGAAGGCTTTCTTGACAATAAACTTGCGATAAAAATTTGCCATGGATTATGCCCAGAATTTATATTAAATTAGCCGGTGGAATCAACCCCCGAAAAAACGACCTAATATTCGGCATGTTACAGCTGTTTTCATTATTTTGGGACATCTTATAAAAAATTGACCGAATGATTATTTGGCCGATTCGATAAACCTTTGATTTGGGCGTGATTGGTTATATAGCGATTGAATTCTGAACGATACTGCATTATCAACGCATCCAAAATTAATTTTTTGTTGAATCTATGTCCAGTATGTTTGGTGTGTTTAGTTTGTACGAAAATTTATGACGAAGATTGTTCTTGCCAAGCAACTTATTTGATAAAAAACAAAAAGGGGTCTGAATATAAGATAATAAATATATTATACAAGAAAGCGCCAATAAAAAAAGTTCGATATTAACAAGAATTTATTGACCGAACTAAAGAAATATAAACAAGTTATATTTCCAAACAACCAAGTTTTATTAATATTTGTCCAATTGCATTGAAAATTATTAATAAAATCATAGTAAAAATCCATAAAAATATTTTCATTTATTTAGTTTATTTGTTATATAGCGCTTAGAAGAAATTGGTTGCACTTTGTGGTATGCTCTATTGCTATTTTTGTAAATCTTAGATGCTTATTACTGTACTTTGATATAATAGTAATAAGTGTTTGTGCGTGAATGAGCAGGGAGTTTTAGGTAATTATTTATTAGATTCGAATAAAGTTAAATAAGTGGTATATACTGTGGTAAAAGAGTATGAATGTGTAGTGTCATGTGTATTTAAGAGGGTGCAGAATATATATTAAGTGGGATTTAAAATTCCGATCTAAACCTACTTGCAAATGCATGTTGAATATAAGGTTTAGATGCACAAATAAACAACCAGTTGCACAGATGTGCATGTAAAAAAAATTTTTATTTGCACAGATGTGTATGTAAAAAATTTTTTATATGCACAGATATGTATATGTTGTGCCTCGGATGCATCCTTGCGTCGGATGCAACCCGACGCGCGTCAGATGCCGATTTTCAAGTGACGCGCGTCACCTGTCGGTCGGTCACCTGAAGTTAAAGATGCTTGACGAATGACGAAACATTCGTCATTGACGAATGACGAAACCATTTCGTCAGGCAACTTCTAAT